GGAACAACACCCTGTCAAAATGTAGGCAGAGATCAGGGTTTAAAAAAATTAAGGAAAGTTTATTTCTGTTGCTTGCAATTAAGAAACCTGAGAAATACAGAAATTGAAGCTAGGAGCAGAGGCAGCCACAAATCCTTGGGGATGGGGGTGAATTCGAGATTCATTACGTGGCTTGGTTGGACCTAAGGACAATGAAAATTCAAGTAGTATTAAGACAGTTCATGGCACAAATGATTATATGAGGTCACTTGCAGGGAAGGTCACCCCATACAATGAGGGTTCCTGAAGTCAGAGCATTGAGAAACCATGTGGTTGCTGCCAGAGAATAGCTGAAGGATCAGAAAACTGTTGGGTGGGGTGGTACGTGCTACAGATTAAGAAATGAATGGTGTAAGGTAAAATTGAGCCAAAATGACCAGGCGAGGAGGCAACAAAGGAGCCAAAAGTTTAATAGGGCGCAATCCTGGGCAATGTTCTCCAGTCTGGTTAATCACAGGCCGGAGAAGTCATGCCCAGCAGGGCAGGCAGTGAGTTTATAAAGAAGTTAGGGGGAGGGAGAGCATAGGTCTACAGTGGCACGAGGATTGGCTAGCCTAAGGCACGTGTCATTGGCCTTTACAGTAGACAAATTACTAGAAAGTTACTACTCCTTTTCCAGGTTCGAGGGGATAGCAGGTGGGGATTTTGGCATGTCATCAGGCCGGAATCTGCTGGTCTCTTTCCCTTACTAGGCTGGGGTTGGGGGCTTTGCTGCCGCCTTTCCTTATCTGATGAGGGCTGAGCTCATCTGATGTGCTCACCTCTCCCTCCGGTGCCTCCAGCCTTACATATGGCAGGTCTTAAATTCTAGTTCAAGGCACAGTCTGAAAACAGGGGACTATCAATGACCTTGCTAAAAGAATATCTTATCTTTTGCAACCAAAACTAAACCAAAAGGGAGACTCTCTGGGTTCCTGCTTTATGACATCTGTTAGATTCACAACCTTCTCTTACCTCTCACTGGTAGTTAGGAGACTGAACTGGGAAGAGTGAGAATTGGCATGTACAGGACTGATGACTCAGCACACACAGCTTCCCTGTCACAGGAAGTAACCCCTTCCTCCGTATGAGGCTCTTCTTCCCCAGCTTGAAAGCCTATAATGTTTTTGCCTTAAGATGTCACCTTGCAAGGGGAATCCAGGCCTCTTTTTCTCTCTTCCCCTCATTGTCTTCATTCCAAAACCAGAGCTAGATACCAACATGTCCCTTTCATTATGAAGCCGAACCAGCATTGAGGAGACTTGTGGATTTGGAAAATAATTGGCATCATTTTGCCCTTTATATTGAGAAAAGTCTTGGGAATGCATGTTGGAATTGATTCCCTCAGAACCAAATTGATTCCAAGAGATTCTATCTCCTTGTGCTTCCTGGAGCAGGGGGAGTGTTTCTGGCATTGGCTTGCTTGATTGGTTGAATGAAACCTGGTGGCCCACACCAAGAGATGTTGATATTCCTGAATTTCTATGGCTTAATGTAGAAGCAAACATCTAAGGAAATAGGAAGGTTGCTGTGGATTGATTGTGTATGACTCACCCACCCATCTCCTAACTCTGTACCCTGAGACAGACCTGAAGACATTCCCTTCATCAAGGCATTGAGAAATACATTGTAGAGGAAAGTGCCACCACCTCTCCAAAGCACTGTTGTGGCTATTTTATGTGTATCACACATGCTGTTGAGAGTTCAACAGACTCCCTCCTGTTTGCAAGGACCCCAGGTGTCAGAGGCCAGAGGTAGCACAGCCCCCAGGAGAGGCAAGGTCATCTCAGTAGGAGGCATGATTAAATGAGTGGGATGATTTCTGTCCCTTGGTAGCAGCTGGCCTTACAGAATGATGGAGTGACCAACTCTAGACTTAGTTATAGTGCCAGCTGGAAGACATCCCTGTGCAGAATGTAGAATACCTTTTGATCTCAAGGCCAGTATATGGTAGCGTTTCTCTTCCCCAGAATGCAGCGCTACAGGCCCCAAGAGCAAGGCATCTCTAACATGCCCAAAGGCTAATTGCACATTTTCTGTTTCTGTTCCCTTCACCTTGGGGCTCTGCTAGTTTGAAGACCTTACCAGCCAACGATGAATTCTTCCACCATAGAACTCAAGCATAGGTCCCTTGAGACTGAAATGGAGACACTGGCTATTTCAGGCCCCTTGCACCAGTGGGTAAGATTTCAAAAAGGAGTGTTATAGTGTTGGCTCTGATGATGGTGACAATCAAGGGGACTTAAGGTTGCTGTTGTAAGATGGGCAATAGGAGACGAATAGAGAGAATTCAGCCATAGTGGTGCCTCTTGCTACTGGCATGCTCAGTAGAAAACAATGTTTTTGTTAAAAAAGTTAACATACTCAGATACCTGACCTGTGAGTTATCCCCTGGCTAACTGAGATGCTTGGTAAAGGGAAAGGAGGATTTTGTAATGTGCATTAAAGAGAGGAGTCAAAAACAAGAATTCTAATCTCTACTTTTATTTTCTTCCCTGCTGTGTCACATGTATATTTACATATCTTTTAACTAACTGCTCTTTACTTTTAATTTTCTTCTGTTTAAATAGGATAAATTAGTGATAGATATCTTAACAATTTAATCAATGAGATCAAAATATCAAAATAGGACTGTGACAGAATTAGAGGAGGAATGAATATTGCCCAGAGATCCTGGAATTTGAGCAGACACAGAAAATTATCCTTTAGTGGGACCCCTTTGGGAGGAGCAGAGGTTATTTTTCAGTTGTATAAGGGGTGTTGCATTATATCAAGTGGGAGTATTTTTATTATATATAGTTTTTATTTTCAGAATTTTAAGAATAGTAAGAAGCACATATGATGCTGAGTAGTCAAAGGGACAGACTGTTGATGACATGTGGCATTCCTTTGGGCTGCTTTGGAAGTGTAGCAGACTGCTAGTTCCTCTGCACATCCATTTCCCCTTCATGCATAATAACAAAACTGTGACTTTTATTAGCTGTGCATATTGCCAAATGGAATAAAGACTAGAATCCTCAATCTCCCTTGCAGTAACCTTATTAAGGTACTTAAGTTCTAACAATGATGCGAATGCGAACATGAATGCTTTGTATGATATTTCCGGGAAATAGGGACAACCCTTTAGACCTCCATGTTCCTCCTAGCACCAGTCTGGGAGCTGGACACAATGGTTAGATAGCCAGCAGCTATCTTGGATCTTAAGTAATCTTGTGAATAGAAGTCTTGCACAGTAGAGGACAAATATCAGAGCCTGGGTTTCTGATGACAAACTGTCCTTTTCATTATATTAAAATGCATACAGATATTTTTTAAATGCCAAGGCAAGCACAGGGAAGGCGCTGGTAAACAAAACATAATTTCTATCCTGCGGGAACTTATAAACAAGTGGGGTGACTGACAAATACGCACAGTACATCTAGCCTAATCCTGAATAGATGGTGGGTAATGTGGTCTGGGAAGACTTTCTGGAGGAAGTAACCCCCTTCCAGATAAATTGGATTGGCCAGCTATTGAAGGGGTGGAAAGAGCTTTCTTGGCCTTGGGGACTCCTTAACACCTCCCAAGAGACAAGTCAGGGAGGTAAGGCAAGAGTTTGGACTTTATCCTCATAACAAGAGGCAAGTGAAAGGAATGTAAGCATGGGAGTGATGTGGTCAAATAGTCCTAACAAAGATCATGCCAGCTGCTCTGTGCAGAATGGATTGAGAACAAGATCAGAGGTGGATAGACCAATTCCATATTTTCTCTTTTAAATAGTGGTAGGAAGAGAGGGAAAGTTTGACACCAATGGCCACTTGGTCCTGATGAAGCACTGAAATACACTAGGAGGGTGCAAACACTAAACAATTTGGAGGAAAAACAGGACTGGATCCAGGCTCTACAGGGCCCTTTTTAGGAAAAAGAACACAGGATTGGTCATGAAGGTGACTATTAATTTACGATGAGAAAAAAAAACAAGAAATTACTGAAGCCTTGGAGATTCGGGTCCCTTTCTTCTGTCTACCCAAATTGCTTGCCTAAAAATGCTTCTAGATGGCAGCTCGGCGTCCTGACTCCGCCCAGAGCGCCCTACGACTCGCGGCACCCCCGGGATAAAGCTGGAGAGGCGCCCGAGGCTCCTCTGCAGAGCGGCTCGCTTAGCCGCAGCGAACCAGGGAAGCGAGGGGCTGGTGGACAGAAGGTCCTACGGTTTGGGTTGGGTGGATCGGAGTGGGAGGCAGGGCGCCGAGGGCGGTCACACGTCCCGCCACTCCGAAGTCCTGTAGGCTCGGCCGCTGAGCCGCCCCCTTGCTCCTTGAGGGGCTGGCTGCACTGGTTGGGAGGTGAGGGGTGCAGGGACCGCGTGGGGCGCCCTGCGTGGATCCTGGGAGAAAAAGTTCCTGCTTATCACCGGGACCGGAAGGCAGCCACAGAGACCATGCCTTTCCTCACTCTCAGCATAAAACTTAACCTCAAAACAACCATGTCTTTGGCATTTTGGATTTCGAAATAAACATCACCAGAGCAGATGTCCAAGAAAAAACACCAGCCAGCGCAATAGCCACAGATCAGTAAAGTTTTATTTTTTAATGAGAAAGGGCTTGCAAAGTTCGTTCCTGTTGAAATAAAAGAATTAACTTCTGCAAAACAAGTACCCATTAGCAGGAAGCCCAAGGCGCGGAGCTCCGTCCTCGAAGCTGCAGGCGGCGCGGGCGCGGGCTGGCGCTCCTGAGGGCTCCGGGCGCGGGTTGGACGACCCTGGGGACTCCGGGCCCGGGGCGAGCGGCGCGGAGTCCAGTTGAAGCACCCGAGGGGGGCGCGGCGCGGGGTCGGGAACGCGCAGCGCGGGGGCGCGCTGGAAGGGTGGGCGCGCGGCGAGGAGCAGGGGTGGGGTGCCTGAGGGGGCTCAGGGCGCTGCGGGGAGCGCGGGGCTGGCGGGCGCGCGGGGGCGGCGGGCGCGCGGGGGCGGCGGGCGCGGCGGGCGCGGCGCTGCCAATCGCAGACAAAGGCCGCCCCAGTGAATCATGTGGTGTCGGGGAGGAAGTGCGGCTTGTTTTCTTTCCTCCAGTCGCCGGGCTTCGGCGGAGCGAGATGCGCGGAGACCTTCGCGGGGGCGGCGGCGGCGGCGGCGGCGGCGGCGGCAATCGCCGCCGCGAGCCCCGATGAGGCCCGAGCGCCCCCGGCCGCGCTCAAGCGTCCCCGGCCCGATGGAGGTCCCTCCGTGGGGCCCTCTGCGCAACGACTCGCTGCAGCCCACGCTGACCCCGGCCGTGCCCCCCTACGTGAAGCTCGGTCTCACCATCGTCTACACCGTGTTCTACTCTCTGCTTTTCGTGTTCATCTACGTCCAGCTCTGGCTGGTGCTACGCTACCGGCACAAGCGGCTCAGCTACCAGAGCGTCTTCCTCTTCCTCTGCCTCTTCTGGGCCTCCCTGCGGACTGTCCTCTTCTCCTTCTACTTCAAAGACTTCGTGGCGGCCAACGCGCTCAGCCCCTTCGTCTTCTGGCTACTCTACTGCTTCCCCGTGTGCCTTCAGTTCTTCACCCTGACGCTGATGAACTTGTATTTCACGCAGGTGAGTCGCGGAAGCAGCCCCGGCGGTCAGGAGGTACCTGGAGGGCGCTCACCTGGCCGTGGGCCCCAACACAGCGCCGATGCGGGGGCGATGGCCTCCGCGGGTGCCGGTATCACAGCCCCAGGGCCGAGAGTGTGGGGAAGAGGCACTGGTCTGGGCTCACTGCAGGCCTTTCTCTCAGGTGACCCCCTCCCTTCCATTCCTAAAAGAGGCAGAGGAATAGTACAGGAGTGCTGGGGGTCCCCGCCAGTCTGCGCTTAGCACCATACCATGCAATCGGAAGTGGGCCTCCCAGCGCGGGGGCCTGCGGCATCTGTGCGCGCGCCAGAATTGGTGCTGATGGGAGGTGTGCGTTGCCAGGGAGGCTTGTACTCTAGAATTTCCCCTTCGTACTCTCGTTCCAAAGCATCAGACCCACAGCCTGGCAAGGGCATCTGCACATTGGCCTCCAGATTTGGGCCAGACCGCTCACTTTTTTGACTGATGGCTGAGTGGGACTGTCCTGCTTCGGATGAGATGTTTTGAATCTGCTGCCTAGGAACCCTGCTGAACTAAGACTTTCTAACTCATTTCATTGGATTGTTAAACGGAAATCTGGGGTAACACCCGGCCCCCAAGCTGCTGCGGCAGGAGGTCAGGCTTGCTGTCTGAGCTCATCCCAGAGGCCCCAGGAAAAAGCCATGAAGGTTTACTGGAACTCTTTTACAGGCAGGCGTTCATTTTATGATGCACGTTGTTAATAAGCTAATAGGAGCTCGTTCAAGTTGCCTTGGTCCCCATGACCACTGACTTAAAGAAAGCACACTAACTGTAAAGTACTTGCAAATGCTGTATAAAGTGCTGTGTCAAGGTTTAACAACACAGTGCGGCTACCATTGTCATTTATTTCCATTAGCTTCCCAAGCTCGAAAATGTCCATTTCACCAGGATTGTGCCCAAGGGAAAGGCATTAATCCCATCACCTGGGGAGGGTAATGTAAGAGCTGTCACGTGGGGAGGCGCCTCGAGCAAACAAGCATTCCATTCCTTTTAACAGTGTCTCTTTCTCTAAAGAAAATGTCAGTGATTGGAAAAAGGAAGACAAGAATATGTAGAAACGGATTGCCCTGGTATAGTGGGAGTTCCTGGCTGAAAATGTATCAGCATATTTTGCAGTCCACGAGTAATGCATATTGTCTGTCCAAATACTAGTTTTAAGACTGAAAACCAGGTCAAGCAGTCAGCTACATTGCAGATACTCCAGGTTTTTAATTGGATCAAAAGGGGTGGTCCCAACAAGACAGAGAGAGCAGGTCAGGTAGGTTGATGTTACTTCCAGAACTGTGACAGTGGTCACACAGTTTATTGAAATTTTAATTTGTGTGTCTCTTTTTGAGAAAAAACAGGGAAATGTAGGGCACTGCTATAGCTGCTATAGTTCTCTGCTAATCACATGCAAATCTGCACTCAGCTGGATTAAGGGCAGGGCTGTACATTTTCTGCACCATCTGCTGGTTGGCAAGTAAATGCTGAGTGAGGGAGAGTGACCAGGCAGCCAGGGTCACTCAAGCCCGAAGGCTGCAAGCCACGGCTGACTTTCCATCTCCTGCGTCTTTTTCTCCCTCTATCTCCAGGGTGGCTAGCAGGACAAGGTGGTACCTAAGAGCTGCCATCTCAGACCCTGGCAGAGCAAAGCCATTCCCTGGCTTCCTGATAAATACTCTGAGACGTGGCTGTGTCTACATCATAGGATCAACTTCACCCTTTGACTCCCAGCTGCTTACCACTCTCTTCCTCTCCCCTCCCACACACCTGCTCTAAGACAAGGTTCCTAACCATTTAAGAACTTTAAGAATTACTTTAAGTTTTTCTTTTTTTTTTCTTTTCACTAATTCTTTTTACTGCTATCTGGGCCTCATCTCAGAGCAAGTAAATCTGATTTTGGAAGGAATGTGGCAGCAGCTAACAATTAAGAAGTGTGTACTATGTGCCAGGCACAGTTCTCAGTGGTTTGTCTTATTTATTCTTCAGAAGATGCCTCTGAAAAAAACACCCATAGTGTCCATTTTATAGAGGAAGGTCAGAGAGGTTAAATGTCTTGCTCAAGGCCACATGGTCAGTACAGAGAGAAGCTAGGAGTCACATCCCCATCTGTGACACCTGTGTGTAAGGCTTACCTTTCTGGCCCAGCATTTGAAACTTTATAGTGAGAAAACATACCCTACTCCAAATGTCACACCTTATGCTTCAGACGCTGAACACCAAGTGGGGAAATACAAAGTTTACAAATGCCACAGTTATGTAGTAACTTCAGGGAATTAAGGGAGTGTATATTTAATTTTCAGGAGACTTGAGCTGGACCTGAGTCCTCAGAGAAGGAAGTGGGTTTGCGCCAGCTCCTGAGGCCGAGGGGCTGGGTGCAAAGGAGGAAAGGGCAGCAGTGAGGGAGCATGGGGCAGAAGTCTGGAGTTGGGAATGAACTGGAAGGGGGTTCCAGACAGAGAAAGCTTTTTTATTGGTGTCATGTCCTTTATGCCTGGCCTAGCACCTGGGGCTTACTTACCCATCTCTGGTAAGCCTCTCTGATAGGAGGGTATTATGACTCTCTCCTTTGAGACTCAGAGAGGTGAGGAAGCTTGCCCACACTGCTCGGCCCCCTGTGTGGCACCTCTGAGCCGGGTGTGGAGTGACCCTGCCCCTGCAGTTGGAGTGCCACTGGCCAGTCCCTCCAGGGTTTGGAGTGGAAGGAAGTATCCTGTTAGCCTCTTCCCCTCCATCTTTGCAATCTGGGTCTGGCCTGGGAGGGGGCAGGGTTGTCTCATGTGATTCTCTGCTTGTCCACCTCCCAGTCTTGCTCTTTCTCTGGCTCTGCCACATGGCTGTGTCTACATCATAGGATAAACTTCATCCTGGCTCCCTCTGCCCAATCCCTCCTTCAGGTGGGACCACACAGGTGACGGGCTGGCACCCACCAATTGTTTCCTTCTATGCCTCTACCTGCCCCTCTTCATTCTCTGCTGCCTAGAGGCCTTGCCACCTACAGAAATCTGTGAAGGTGGGGAGGTAGCTAGTGGTAGCTACTGGTCCTGCTAACTTTTAGCAGCCTGTGTGTGGTGTATGTACGGCTCACCCAAAATGTTTGCAGCTCTTGTTGGAACACAGAGTACTGAGTACCTGTTGTTTCCATTTCTGGGCTCTAGGACCATTTCTGGGGAACAGCAGACTCCCAGTCAGCTCCCTGCTGCTGAGGACATGCTAGAACCAAGTCCGGAACCCAGGCCTTTCTTGCAGCACCTGTTCTTCTAGCACTGTGTTAGTTTGCCTTTTAAGTGGGGTTTTTGAGCAGGGCAGGACTCTGAGACCTAGGCACACAGGGGTCTCTGTGCATGAGGTGGTAAAGTGCTCTTCACCACCAGACTGTAGAGCAGAGGCTTAGAAGCAAAGGCTGCCAGCTTCCATGCCAGGGCAGCCCCTGGCAAGGCAGGTCTGTCTGCAGAGCCAGGGCAGAGGGTCAGGTGTGGCAGTGGGCTAGGGGACACCTGGGCAGCCGTGCTTCCTTCAGAAGCCATTCTCATTCAGAATTGTGAGTCTGGACCTTAGATTCATGGAGTTCTGAGTTTGGTTGAATGAAACAGGCTCAGCTTCTGGTTCAGCTTCTTGAGTCCTTTGACAAATCCCTGCCATTCTAGCAGGGCAGTTTGCGGAAGGAGAAAGGAGAAGTGAGCCCTGTCAGCGGGGGAAGAGTCAGTGTGATTGATGCATGCTGACGCAGGAGCCAGGACCGGGATCCCCCTCCGAGGACAGCTGGGAAGCTGCAGGGGTTATTTTAGGGCCTGGGGCTTGTGGCAGGGGCAGGGCCTCCTGGTGGGTGTTGGAGCTCATCTTGGGGAACTTGAAGGCCTGTGTATCTGGAGGCAGCCCCAGGGGTGGAAGGAGCAGGTCTTCTGTGGGCAGAGCTGAGTTTGAATCTTGGCTTTGCCCCTAGTGGGGCTCCCGCGGCTAGTTACTGACCTTCCTGAGGCAGTACTGACATTCTTTGTCAGGAAAACGGCAGCTGTGGTGCTCAGCCCAGGCCCAAGCAGGTCAGGGGAGACTGTGCTGTGCCCCTTTGCTCCTCTTGGCCCTCAGCTAAGGTGCCCTTCCTGCATCTCCCAGTGGCAGCAACTCAGGCTCTTGTTCAGACACCAAACCACAGTCATGAAGGTCCGGCTCCAGCACTGGCTCTGCCCTTTATCAACCCACTGTGTCATCAAAACGCCTTTTACCACCAATTTGTAATACTGTGTTTGTAAAATGGCAGTGACACTCAGCTTACCCTTAGGGACAGCATGGAAATCACCCTTCCTCACAACTGCAGCTCCTGATGTGAGGACTGAGGAAATTGGAGCAGCCCAGCCCTTCATCCTGCAGGTTAGAAAATTCTGGAGACTTGTCCACGGCTGCTAGCCAGGCATGCAGAGCCAGGACGATGCCTGGCGCCACCGAGCTGTGCTGGCTGCACACTCCACCCCCAACTCGAATGCATCATTTCCTTATGCCTGCTGATTGGGAAATAGGAGGCAGTCAGAAACCTAATCCAGGGACCCTCTGTCCACCCTGCCAGGAAAAGGCAGGTGGTGATTGTAGGAACCAGTGGGTCTTGATATGGCTCTTGGCAGCCAATGTAATCAAGAAATGTTTGCCACATACCTCTTGTGTGTCAGGCCCTAATCTAGGAGTCGTGAAGAGGGGTGATTATGAAGAAGTAAGAAGCTTAGGAACATAAAAGGCAAGTCTTTGCCAGTCTTTAAGTGCCTCATTTCAAAGCTGTCACATGGGCAGGGAATATGCTCAGCCTCACCTCTGGTGTACCCTGCCCATGGCCTGCTGGCCTCTGGCCCCAGCTCCTTCTGGCCATTCAGTGGGCTCACAGCCGCCAAGATGTGTGTGTGTAGGTGTGTGCCTGCTCAGTGGGTGTGCCCGTGTGTGCCTGTGTGTGTACCTGGTGGGTGCCTGTGTGAGTTCATGCCCACTCAGAACCC